TCACACACACACACACACTCACACACACACACACTCGCACACACACATACACACACACACACACACACACACACATGCACATAAACACACACAAACACACACACGCAACAACAACACCAATAAAAAAAAAAAGCGCACAAAAAATCCCTAACCTGGCTGCTGGCTCTGGAAAGAGCAAAGTCAACCTGAGCTCTGTTCCAGCCGTTGCCTTGGTTACTTGACCTGGTCCACACAGGTGGAGGTTGGCTGCTTCCCGAAAACACTCTCACGTTCAGCTTGCCGATTTGAGCGCCGTACATGTGGTACCAGAAGCTGACACAGTAGTCCCCAGCTCCCCCGGTGATTGCAGGAGAAGCTAAGATAGCATTATCTCCTTGATTAGCTGGCCGTGAGGTTTCCAAATACATATAATGTCCTGGAAGATAATAAATAGATGTACATCAGCATCACTCCACAAGCACCTTAGTCATTTTTCAAAGTTTTGAGAAATTAGAGAAAAAGAAAACTTTCATCATAACCATTACCATCATCGCCACCACCATTGTCAACATCCTCATCATCACTATTATCATCTTCTTATCAATACCATCATCATTATTATCATATCAACATGATGATCATCATCATCAAATTTACAACCTCTCCTCCTTATCCTCATCGTCATCATTATCATCATCATCATTGTCACTTTCACAATTATTGCTAGCTGAAAAAGTGTACTGCAAGGTGTGAAAAAATTCCTGGAATCTACAAAAGCAGAAAAGTTTACCTGTGTTCGTGCCGCTGGTGTGGTCAGCTGTTGGACCTGTGCCGGAAGTGCCAGTAGAGCCCGAGTGCAGCAGCCAGTTTGTCTTGTCAGTCTGCAGGTTCTCATAGCCACAAGTGGTCTCAAAGTTACAAGACAGTTTTCCAAGAGCATCAGTGCCTGAAATTGAATGAGAAAGTGTGTTACTTTACTTTACTTTACTTTAGTACCCTTCACTTCACTTCACATCACTTCCTTTAAATTTACTTCACTATACTTTTCCAATCCAGTAGCTACATGAGTTCGAGCCCTTCAGCCTGATGAGAAAGACTTAAACTATTATTTATTGATAGTATCCCCTCGACGCTTAACGGAAACAGGATGAAAAAGAAAAAAAGTAAGTATGACCTTTTAAGTGCTCATCTAAAACTATCATAGCTTAAAAGTAACTGTTGTGTCTTGTTTTCACTTCAGCACATTTGTATAATAGTTAATATAAATCTGAGAGTGTTCTTCCATATGTGGTTGAGCTGGGGGGGTTTCTGTATTTGTAATTTTTGTATGTGTGTGTGTGTGCGTGCGCGCGCGCGTGTGTGTGTGTGTGTGTGTGTGTGTGTGTGTGTGTGTGTGTGTGTGTGTG